CCCAGCTGGAGCCAAGAATCCATGAGCAGGGCAGGGTGGCCAGCAGAGTGGTGTGCCATGGCCAGTGGAAATTGGCTGCCCACTCATGGCCCAGGCAAGCCCACAGATGTAGGGTTGGATTTCTGCTTGTGCTGGGGTCTCCTTTGCTCCTTCCTAGCACCACCTCAGGCTCCTCCTGCCATAGTATGGGGAGGGAATGGTGACCAGCCCCAGATCCCTGTTCAGAGCCCTAGATGGATCTGCTCTACCAAGTGTACATTAACTGAAGTGTACCCGCCTGCACGACTTCATTTCAGCACTACACGCTAAATAACACCAAATTATAAGCAATGTGGGAGCATGGAAACTCCCCCAAAAAACTTTTAATTGGATTGCAATGGAGTTATCTGGTGAGGCACCTGAGCAGAAGACCACAGGCTCTACAAACCCAGGCTAGAATCACATTGATTTTCAATACCATCATTCATCATGCTAATGAGCTCATGTAAATATAATTTATTTTTTTGGTAAGCTTTTCAATATATAAGGAAGAGGATCACTGCATTTGTATTTCCTGCTAAATTAAAACCCTCCTCATCTTCCACGTGTGGTTTTTTTCCCCCCTCAGGATTTTCTGAGGTTCTTGGAGCAAAACTGGAACCTTTCTGACATGCAGGAGAGTGCTTATGCAGAAGGGAAGCCCTCCTTTGCCTCCTTCTCCTGCCTGAGGCTGGTGTTCAAAGTATCAGTATATCCAGGCAATAAATAAAACGTTGCCAAAAAACTAGACGCAGCAAATGCAACAAAACGTGATTGCAGTCAAAACAGAAGTATTTTAGCCGTGGTGACCTGCAACATTCAGTGTTGACTCGCTCAGGAAGGAGTTCCCCAGCAGTTTGCTGCTACCATGTGCAGCCCATGGAGGAGGGCTTAGGTTCAGCCCAGACCACCTCTCCCTTGCTGACCTTTGTCCCAGCATCTCTGAAAACACCAGAAGGGCTGGGCTGGGGAGGTGATGCTGCCTGAATACAAGCGTTTAATTTGCCTTGCAAAATTACCTGGCTAATCTCTCCTGGCTCCCTCTGCAATGCGTGGAGAGAGGCAGAGACTCCACCAGAGGGTGACATCTGCCCTGAATCATCTCCTGGCGGACTCTGAGCCACCTCCAGCCTCCACGTCTGGGGAAACACGGTTTAGGATGCAGCGTTCAGCTCGCAGAAGATGAAACTGTATTGCAGCTCACGTCTGCAATACAGCACAGTGCTCCTGAAAAGATCAGCTGAAAACATCGTATTAGATTCAAGCTAACCCCTAGGCTTTTTCTTTCTTTCTTTTCTTTTTTCCTGATGAAAAAAACCCAAAACAACAAAAATACATTATTTTTGTGAAAAACAGGAACAGGAGCAGTTGGAGGCATCATTACCAGTTTTAATTAGCAGACCTGAGTGCAAATCCTCACAACCACAGAGGTCCAAAGCCTCAGTGCTGTGTCCACAGGAGTCCCAGCAGTGCCAGCAGGACACATTGCGGGAATACCTGCATCTGTTCACAGCTGGAAATGGGGGATGGAGAAATAATGAGATTTTGAGTAAGTTCCTGAGAGGAATAAAGACAAGAGAACAGGTTCCCAGATAGATCCTACACCTCTAAACCTCTCTTGGGTTGGGAATATGGGCATGATCTGAAGCATTACAGGATCTGGGGATGGACAAAATTATCCTTCATCACTGGAGCCTGAAAGCCTGACCATTTGTCCTTGATTGTAGCCAGGTGCAGGTCAGTTTTTTCTTCCAGGTAGCAAGTGACAAGACAAGATGAAAAGGCCCCAGGTTGCAACAGAGGCGGTTTAGTTTGGAGATTAAGAAAAATTTGTGTATTGAAAGGATGGTCAGGCACTGGAGCAGACTGTTTAGGGAAATGGTGAATCACCACCTTGGAAGAGTTTAGGGTGCATATGGATGTGGCACCTGGGGACACAGTTTAGTGGTGCATTTGGTAGTGCTGTGTCAGTGGTAGGACTCAATGATTTTAGAGGTCTCTTCCACCCTTAATGATTCTACCTTAGTAGTCATTCTCAGCTGCTGGTGATGAGCCTCACATTTGCACCTTCTGACTCCAGGACAGCCACTGTTTTTTTGCAAAGTGCAGTGGTGTTTTCAAGTGCAGGCTGTCACCTCCAGCACAAAGGTGTATGGTTACCTCCTGCAGGTGCCTCAGGGTGAGAGATGTCCACACATCCACCCCACAAATGTGCATGTTTTCCATGAACTAAAAAAATTTGGGCCAAGTTCTCTGGGAGCTGGATTCATTCCACACAGGTCAGGCCAAGCCTGGTTGAGGTGCACACAGTGGTTAATCCCGTCTGTTTCAACAGGGCCACACAAAACCCCCACCACCACCCAAATGTGGCTGTGAATGCTGAGGGTCATGTCCAGCAGCACTCAGGAGGCATCAGACCCTGATATGAGTCCTGCCTGGACTAATGGAAGGATTTAGTGACCCAAGAGCCTTCCAAGGGGCTGTGGGAAAGACCATCCCACCTGTAACATCATCTGGGTGAGCCACGTCAATGGACACCTCAAGGGTGGGACAAGCCCCATCAGCCACCAACCCCAGCTAAGTTTCACTGTTCCCAGCTTCAGGCATCCAGCTGAGGTGCCCAGGTGAAAGCCAGGTGACATATTTATACTGAACACAGGGACCCCTGTGCTTGCAGAGAAGAAATTTTAAATGCCTACTAAATTTAAATGGCATAAATCCAGAAAGCGATGTCTCCATGAGTCTATTGTATCATCCCTCTGGAGCTGCTTCACTCACATCAGCAGCTTGTTGGTGTCAGGATCAAGCAGAGACCATTGCTCAGCCCTTACTGTTCACTGTTTAGTTACAGGCCACTTGGTTTCACAGAATCATAGAATGCTTGAGGTTGGAAGGTACCTTTAAAGGTCACATATTTCAACCTGGGACATCTTCAACTGGATCAGGCTGCTTGGAGTCCCATCCAGCCTAACCTTGAATGTTTCCAGGGCTGGGGCACTTACTACCTCTCTGGATGACCTGTACCAGGGCTTACTCATTGTAATCTACTTTCATTTTAACAGAAATGTCTTTCTTTTATTTAGACTGATGTTCTCCCACATTTCCTTCTCTGCCCACCAGCATGGTCCTGTCCACCTGCTGCAGCTCCTGGCATTGGTCCATAACCATCTTCTACCAGCAGGTACTGGGGATTTGGAAGTCACACAATAACATCTGCTCCAGATGTCCATTCTTCACCAGGTTAAATTAGATTAAAACATCAACTTATTAATGAAGATGATACTGCAGAAGAATTTGAAGCTTCTGCTTCAGTTTTGCAGGTAACTTTGCTGCTGGCTCAGTAGGAAATGGCTTCTACCTCCCAGGAATACTGTCACAACTGCAGTATTTTTGGAAAGGAGACAGTTTTTTCACCCTTACAAATGGAAGAAAATCACACATATGCTAAGATGGGCCATGGCTGAAGGATATGCCTCAGAGACAAAAAGAGCCACGTTCACATGCCGAACTTGCTGTTAGGCAGGAGTGGGTACTGAATGTCTACATCCAAACCACTAATCCAGACCCTGGGCTGCTCTTGGATGTTTCCTGTCCTTGTTCCAACCTGGACTTGAAAAATATTTTCCACTAAAAGTGGTAAATTGCCATGAAAAGAGCCCTGTATGATAAACCACCCCATTCTGACAAAATATAATTCCTTGGAGATTTTCCAACCAGCTGTAACACTAACACCACTGGAAAGTCTTTAGGCGTTTCTGCTTGGCTGGAAACAGCAGTTCTGTGGAAATCAATAGCAGATGTTACCCAGTGTGAGATCCACCGAAATAAGTCCAACAGCCCAGGAGTCTGTGCAGCAAAGAGAAATCATCCCATGCCAAACCCACAGTATTGCAACCTCACTGATACACACACACCCTGGACACACCTCGCACTCCTTGCTCCCAGACAATCCCTCCTGGTCAAACGAGTTACACGGGTATTTATTTTCCAATACGTTTTCCATTTTCTGGCACTGACTATGCTGGAGAGATAACCTGTGAGCAAGCATGACACAATTCCCTGCCAAACGGGAGCAGCTCCCTGGTCAGAAGGAGGTATGGAGCTGCTGATGGGGTTCCATGAAAGGTGAGCAGCTTCAAAAAGTGCAATGGTAGCAGAGGTGTGACCCAGAGGGCCTAAAATTGAGGGGCTGTCCTGCAGGGCTACTGAGTCCCTCTGCCATTATGGAAGGATGCAGCAGAGCCAGGGGTCACCTCGAGGTGCAGAAATCCCTGTGTCAAAAGCTTGGGGTGATCTGGTTAAGGCAGGGACACCTTCCACTAGACCACGCTGATCAAAGCCCCAACCTGACAACTTGACCTTGATCTTTTCCAGTGATGAGGCATCCATAGCTTCTCCAGGCAACCTCTACCCGTGTCACATTTGAGACAGATGCACCCAGCTGCAGGGGTTCCTCTGCCTAAATAGAGGTATCTGCAAAACAGAGGTGCCAGCATCTGGTTAACTCATCACAGGACCTTTATATTTCAGTGGAGTGTAATTACAGTTAGAGAAGGTAAGGAAGTTGTGACAAAGCCAGTCCAGGGACCAGCTCTGCACAAGAAGGAGTTTGTCCCTGTGAGCCATGAAGAACTGTGCTGCTGTGCTGGGATTTCTGTATGAAAATTGGCTATCATGCTGCACTCCAGTTGCATCTCACTGCATCGCACAAGAATAAAACAGTTCCCTCTCCTGGCACACACAGAGTCGTATTCACTGCACAACACCTCAGCTTTCACCGACTTATTCTGCAGCTTAATTAATTGAGTCTTAAAGTGCTTTAAGAGAGGAAAAGTGTTTAAAAAGCACAAAAGAGCCATTAATATCAGATGTCAAGCTGTTACAAGGAAAAACTGTGCTGCTAGTGTTTTCTTGATTAGTTAGAACACCCTAGGTTGTATTATCTCATTTGCAACTGTGATACAAACTGATACCAGCCTCTCTTAGGAAAAGTCATTTTATTTTGTTGAAGCCATACGTTTCCAAGGATAGAGTAAAGCTCAGGAGCTATAAATCATGCCTAGATAAGAAGAATCTCAAACAGTGGTTTTTTTGCAGGATGTAGCTTGTTCTGTGGTAATTGCAGGACGTTCAAGGCAGATTTCCCACTGCCTGCTCAGACACGCAGCACAGAAGAGAAATGCCAGCTACTGTTCTTAGTATTTAAAATCTGAGCAGGTTAAGACAATTTTAATAATACTGTTGCACATCTGCCCAAATCCTATAGAGCTGCAGTGCCTCAGATTTCAAGGACTGTCCCCTTGCTGTCAGAAGTCATGGCTGCAGCAGAGACATACTGGCCTGAGCTAGGTGGGGTAGAAAGGGTGGTGGCAAATTGACAGTGCAGACCTCCTGGGTGCCTCAGCTTTGCTGCTTATCAGCACATGAGCTCCCACATCACTGAGACTGCAAAGCTGCACCGGGGATGCTGGTGGACCTGGGATGCAGGGGCTGCTGGGTTCGGGTGTAGGGAAGCTGCTCTGGGTACAGAGCCCCAGAAAGTGCATGGCTGGCTGCTATGCAGTGCCACACAGCTAAGCAGGGTCAGAGATAAGGCCACACAGAAGGTGCAATACAGCCGTGGGGGGCAGCTACCCTGTCTCACCGGTGCTTGGGCTGTACTTGAGAGCTGCTGCTATCATACGTGCCTTCAGAGGCTGCTGGGGATCCTGGGCCCCTGTCACCCCATCCTAGTATCCCCTGAGCTTGAGCTGGCTTCTTTCCTGCCTTGACAGCTGCCATGTAGCCCTAGAGGAGTACCAGGATTGAGACAGGGTCTCATGAAGGAGTGAGAAATCAGCTCCACATTTGTCTTGACAGCACACCAGGCATGTTTGAGTGTGCAAATATGCAGAGGTCGTTTGGAGAGCATCCACTGGCTGCTCTCTGCCTGTTAGGAACAGTGACCTTGCCCCTTGCACCTAACATTCCTATAGCAAAACACCACTGACTTTACCCAGCTATAATCCTGCAACCCATACTGGTACACAAAACCTGCCTTTCCTTTTGAACAAAGCCAGTTCTGCTTGCATACAGCCTGTCTTTCTCCATAAACCAGCAGTGGCCCATGAAGGATGAGACAGGGAGTCATCCTCTCTTTCTACTCATGCCACTGCTTCCCCACTTTGTCACCATTGTTGGCTTCCCCAGCTTTGCCATTTGCATCACTGCTGAACAGGGTGCCACCTGGCCAGGGTGTGCTGGGCTGGGATGTGCACACACATCTGGTTGCATTGAGCACAGCCCCTGAGCTAAAGAAACAACTCTGTCCCATCATGAACCAGCCAAATCTCATTTTCCCTCTGAATCCATCCATGCCAGCTCAGCCTTGCTGCAGGCTACATGATGCAGAGAGGCAAAGCTGCCATGTTAGTAACAGAGTTTTCTTCAGCCCAGGACAGGCCACCATCAACACAGCACCACCATCAGCTTGCTCACTCCTGGGACTCATTATGGGATGCTATGGTAGATCAGGGGTCCACACCAAGCTAGCACTGCAGGGAGAGACACAGATGGGGGTGAAAGGAAGGAGCCATGCATGTAGGACTCCCAAATGCCTCTTGGAGTCCAGCCAAAGTAAATGCTGCTGAGACAGGAAGCCTCCCTCTTGCAGGCAACTGCACCAAGAGATCCAAAGCCCCTTGCTGAGCTAAGTCCCAGGGAAGGGCAGCATTCCTATGCCCTTCTCCAGCAGTGGCAGATGTCTTTGTGCCCCTCATCTGGCTGGAAACACTTGCTGCTCCCCTGCAAAGCCCTGATGTGTGCCCCAGCTCCAGCACTGCAGGTGTTGGGGGACATGGCTCATGGTGGCAGAGGGGAGAAGGGGTGAAGAGTGAGCAGAGAGGAAGAGCAGTGCAGAAGAGGAGTTAGTTCCACCTCTGACATTAGTGTCTCTGTGCATGGGCTCACCAGGTGGGTCTTCACACAGCAAAGCAAGTGCTGCAGCCCAGGATCCCTCCTGCCTCTCCTCCCACCTGACAGTCCATAGTCCCCTGTGTGCTTCAGCAACAGTCAGCTCTCAAGGGAGACAAGGCAGGTGACAACAGATTTGAATCCAAAAGTGCAACTCTCAGATCTGCTAGGCATTGGAGCAGACACAAGGGCTTCAGGGCTAAGCCATTCATGGGCTTAGACCTTCAGAGAACACCACATCTTGAAGATTCAGGGCTCTGACCTTCAGTGGTCACCAGACAACAGGGAAGGACTGGGAGAAGATAACCTTGGTATGGCTAAGAAAAAAATGCTTTCCCACCATGCAAAAAAAATGGGCAGTGGTCTTTCCTTGCAGCAAGACCCATGCAATTTCAGGTATCTGGAAAGGCCTGAAGACTATGAGATATATCCAGCTCCATCCCCTCCACCAGTGGGACACCAAAGAAATAGGCAATGCAGCCAACAGCAGGACCTTGCTCCCATTCTACCCTGCTCCCTGCTGTTTCCCAGTCCCAAGTCCTTGCACCCTTGCCTCCCTCTCCTTTTACCAAGTCCCAGCAACCTTCTGTAACTCATGTCCTCCCCTAACCACCACCACCACCTGCTCCTTGGTAGGGGTGGGTTTCTGCAGAGCTCACTGCCGCTGCATAAGCCTCAGTGTCATCATAGCCAGAAAGAAAGTACCTCCTACCACAGTTAATGTGCATTTCCCAGAGGAAGCATCTTGACACCTGCAAATCACAGAAGCTTTGTGGTCTGTGCCGATAAAACCAGAACATTTTACAACAGACAGAACTCGAGTTACAGTGGTGGAGGCCCCGAGCGACATTGCCTTGGCCCTCCTTGTTATTCCCCAGTCAGTTCATTGTTATTAATGTCACTACAATAAATACCAGAATGAAATTGACAGCATTTGGCCACATATCTTAAAGCATTGCCCCACTCCTCCTTCATTCCGTGTGTTTGCAGCCTTGGTTTCTGTCCCTATCAGTCGTCAGAAGAGCCTTTAGGGACAAACCGTTTGACGATGTGACCAGCTAGGTAATAGAAACCATGCAGAACCGTGGCTGTGGCATCGATGACCAGTGAGAAGGTGCCCCCAATCCCAGTGGCCATGTCTTTTAGGACAGAAGGAATGGCACAGATGGAGTGGTAAGGGAAAGCAGCAAGGTGAAGGACGAACCCCACGGGGATGCTCAGGATCCTGTAGGTGAGGGACAGCACATCTTGAACAATTTGCAGGAAGCCCAGGAAGATGTTGATGATGACCCTCCCAACATCATAGGGGATGCTGATGAGCACCATGCTGACAGCTTTAAGGTAGGACACCATCCCATTCCACAGGCTGTAGACTCCATCCAGAATTGTACCAACAACTCGCTTTACAATAAGCCACAGAATATAAAACACAAACTTCACCAGTTCCACAAAGATGTAGATGAGGAGTTCCAGAAGTTTGATGAAAGGGGTAGCAATGATGCCAGCCACTCTTCTCACCCAGCCACTTTCTTTGGTCTCTTGGTTGTTACTTGTTCCTACTTGCTCTCCAGAGCGGATCTGACTGACAACTTGCAATACTGCTTCTCTTTTCTCCTGGGTTTGTTTGTCTTCCCCACAGCTGCCCTTGAACAAGTGAACTCCTGGTAGAAGCTGCTTCTCCAGTTCTCTCACCGTGAGGTCTGCCAAGCTGTTTTCATCATTGATTTTTTTCACTAATCCCAGGGACCATCCCTCTGGAGCATCACAGCAGGCTGCTAGCCAAAGGCTCTCTGGCACTGACACCTTGCCTTTAACTTGGACACTGGAAGGAATTGCACCTGCAAGGAGATATAGATGATCCATCTTGGAACAGTGAGGGATCAGAGCTTGCTCCACAACCTTCCCAATGTCTCTGTGCCAGCTTTTGCTCAGAGCTGGGCTCAGAGGGACAGCATTTGTGAGTGTGTAAGTAGCCACCTGGAAATCCTCCTCATTAAGCAAACTGGGATTGAGAAGGCCTCTCTCGTAGCCAGAGCCCACGTAGTCTGAGGTCAGGGCTTGATTTGCACCAAGGTTGGCCACAGTGCCACCAATATTGGCTTCATGAACCATTTCATGCAAGTCATTTTCTGGATCATCTATCTGAAAGAGTAGAGAGAGAAGCATTACTGCATGCAACTCACTTTCCTATTAAACAATGTGTAAACTTGGCCTTTATGTATACTTTTCATTAGGACTACTTGTACATGCTTTGGATTATATCCTGCACCCTCTCCTTACTTTCCTTGAGGTGCTTCAGAGAAGTGTATTCTCTATTTAGCTTCTCTGCCAATCACATTGGTTTAGGCTCCAAAGGACATTTGCAGCTCTCCAGTCTGCTGCATAGCACAGAAATCAAAATCTCACCAGGTACCATATACCAAGTCTCTAGCTTGCAATTTGTCCTAAAAGAGATTTTTAAGACCAATAGATGGGTCTTAGATGGCTAGATTCAGGGTCATGTTTCCACCTCCTACTGTGGTCATACCTGCAGTTTATTTAAGAACTTAACCATGGTATTTTAAGCCCCCCTGAACTTTCAAACCCAAGCCATGGGGAAAGAAAAAAACCAAACAAGCCATGGTGTATAAGATGTCTAGAGAAGGCATTTACTTCTCACCATTAATTGTGTAAGGAGCAAGAATGAAGTCAGACATCATGTCAGGTGACCTGAACTACCCCACCTTGAACAGGAGACATAGCAGTGAGCTCCTAGGGCTGCAGGGCTGGTCATCAGTAACCTGACCCTCATGTCATTAATAATCTGAACCTCATCCTTAATGACCACAAAGCTCCTGGTGTAACAGGGGTGAGGGTGCCATCACCCAAGGTCCTCGATGGAATCTGTGCTACCTGCTTGTGTCTGTGATTCCCATGCAGTGGAGCCAGAGGTAGCAATTACTGCAGTGGGAATTTGTCCTGGAGCCATGCAGGAGGGAAGGGGACAGGCAGAGGTGGTAAAGACCAGTGGGAGGAGCAGCACTAAATGACAGGTTGTGTTTAGGTCTTTCTCAGGTGGCCACAGCTCTGTCTGATCCATAGTCATTCCTACTGATACTGCTTGCAGCCTCTCCAGAGGGCTGTGTCAAATTGTCATTTTGTCCCTCAAATTAGAGAGTGAACATGTTAGAAGAAGTTCAGGGGTGGCAGACGATCTCTGGCAGCCACTGCCCTCTCTAGGCTCTGTGGCCCTCAGGTCCCAGCACTGTGCTGGCCCAATTAAACCTTCTTCCTTTGCCCCCAGCCTATAAATTGTTTACTGCACTATCTAATAGGCACTTTGGAGACATCTAAGGCAGACAGTTCATTGTCTACCTTGAATCATTGCCAGGTCATCCATCCCTGTCTCTTGACCACCCTGCACGCACTTGGACAGATATCCAACTATGTCCTTGCAACCTTACACAGAGTTTGCATTCTCTTAGTGCCACATCACATCCTCACAGCTCTGCACCAGCCCGTGCTGAGGGTCAGGGTGAAAGGGCCAGTGTCAGCACCTGTCCATCATCCTCACCTGGGAACTGAGCTCTGGCTGCTGGCTGCAGGAACTGAGTTCCTGCATCAGCCAAACCCCTGCAGTCAAGGTGCAGGGCTCCCTCTGCACCAAACCTGGTTGCAGTGCCAAGCCTGGCCATTGCAGAGGGCTGCATTGCCCTACCTCCTGCTAAGGAGGGTTCTTGCTCTTTTTTTTGGTGCTTATTGCTTCAGGACTGGGAGGATCATAGCGAGTTCTGCGTGCTGATGCACAAGTCACAGCTTTTTCTAAATGCACTGCTTAAAAAAGACTTATTCTGCATTTCTACTACCTTATTCTGCTCCTCTTGCTCAGTCACCTCAAACAACAGGCTGCAGCTGGCTGATGAGGCCAGATATTTTGCATTCCACAAAATTGCCTTTTCCTGCCCCCCCTTCCCTTGGCATTCTCCCCTTTTGATGAGATGATGGTGTGCCACGGGACAAGGGATGCACCCAGTGTGTTTAATTGCACAGAAGAGGTGATGGGGATTGGGCATAGATGTGAGGCTGTGCCTGGGAACTGTCGTTAATGTCCTTAATGCTATGACCCTATGGAGTTTTACACCCTCTCAGAGACTCATCCCATCTCACACCCATGGTGAGTGTTGCCATACCACAAGGACACATAAACCGAAGATGGATGAGCTCTGCCTCTTGGCAGAAATTGCCAACCTACACGAAGCAGAATAAACCTAATTTCTCTCTCCCTATGAGCTGCTGCAAGCAAACCTTGAGGAACCTATCAATAAAATATGTCCCTGGTTACCTGTTTGCAGACCTTTGCACATACTATCAAGATTGTTTGGGTGCAATTAAAAATAATTGATAAAAATGCAGCTGTGTGCTGTTCATGTGTAAGGCTCTGACATCACCTAAACTATGCTTACAATAATTCTTGTTATGGTTTGTAATAACTAATGCGTACCTGAGGTTTTCATGCTTCCTACAGCTCAGGCCCAAAGGCAGGCCACTGCATCAGCACTGCATCTAATCTGCGTTGCAAGATACCTTTCCTCCCTGCTTCAAAAACCTTCTGGCTTGTGTCACCCCAAAACTTACCTGTGTTCATGGAGCCAGCCATGAAGCCACCTGTCCAAATAACCTGGAACAGCTCAGGGCAAAATCCAAGTAGACGGTAAACTCCTTATCATAGAATGGAGATTTAAAAACAACTTACGTGCCTGAAGCCTGTATGATGTTAGCACATAACAATATTGACGTGTGTCATTAAGTGGAGGGTGCAGTTTCACAGATGGGACAGAGGCAGAGGGGGATTAAAAGTATGGTAACACACAGTTATTAGGGCAGGCAGCTTCCATTGAGTTTGGTCATTTAACAAGGCAGGACACTGGCACTCTCCACCTTCCTCACCCTGGTATGTAGGATCTCTGAACTTCAGCTTCCCTCTCAGGCACCCTTACACCTTTGACTGAAGTGGAAATGTTTGATCCAACCTTAGTGTGGGATTCCATAGCTCAGTGCATCTTACGCTGAAGTTTCTGTAGTAGGAACACTCACAAGTGGCTCTAGAAGTGCCTGTTCTCTTAACTCTCTACCAAAAGAGATTTCAAGAGCAGCTCGAAGGTAGCTGCACTATAGCTGGGCAAGAATCCCACCTTGGTCGTCTGCCTGGTGGTAGCCATTAACCAAATGAAAACATACGGTAATTCATCCAGCCCCTCATAAATGAGAATGGAAAAAGCAACTCTGGAGTTTTCCATCTCTCTCTAAACTACACAAAGAATCACACAGATTTTCAGACAATTAAAATGGAATGAGATAAAAGACACCAACCTAAGTGACTTGTTCTCAACCCCTAGGAAATCTGTGTCAGAGCAGGTTTTCAGACCTGCACCTGGGGGAGTCCCATCAGTACCCTGCTCATCAGCCTACCCTTCCTGCTCTCTAATTTTTCACTAATTGCTGAATTAATTCATTGTTTCCAGCTGCCAATCCGCAGTGGGTGGCACTGACATTCCACACACTTCTCACCCAATTACTTCCTCTGTGCTACATTTGGCATTTGTTTCTCAGGCAGACATTCCTGAGGGAGTGAGATGGTGCCCTCACCACTTACATCATTATTCCCCCAAAAAAGCATATGACAACCTTGAGGCCCTCACTGGAGTGCTGAGAGTGTTTTTGTAGTGATTTCTTTCCGTTTGCTGTGTGTCTGTATCTCCATGTGCAGCTGAGCCAACTCATACCCAGCTATCCCTGTATTGGCAAGGAAATTACCCAGAAAATCGATGATATGAGTTCACTGGGCTGTGCTGCAGAGCAGGTGTTGCTAAGGGTTCCCTTCAGCAGCCATCTGACCTAGCCGTGGTAGAATACGCATAATGGGTGTGAAAGCTCTTCCTCACTCTCTCCTCCAAGTGGCAGTGTCTGAGAGGGCTGGATGCACTTACTTCTTGAATTATAGGAATTCTTCATATTCTTGATTTCTTCTCCTTACCATATTCTTATGCAGGTTTTGTTTTGTTTTGTTTTTTGTCCTAGTACTTTTCTGTCTCAGTAAGAAGTTCTTCCAGGGAAGAACTAACTAACTAACTAACTAACTAACTAACTAACTAACTAACTAACTAACTAACTAACTAACTAACTAACTCCTGTCTTTGAGACATCTGCATTTCCCTAGTGGATGAACTATTGTCAACCTGTGAGGCTGCTCTGGAGAAGCCACAGCAAATAAAGGTAGCACCTGCCCTGTTATTTCTGAGGCTGCAGAAGGTTTTGCTTTGGGACTCTGGAGTGCTGGCAGGAACCAAGAGAAGATGAGGGGTCAAAAGGGATGGAGCAGGAAGAGCAGAGAAGCCAGCTAAAGGGAGGTCTAGGGGAATCAAAGTTACTGGGCAGGGGGTAGGCTGCCCACTTCTCCATGGCAGGAACAGCTCCTGAGCCTACCTAGGTAGGCTGGGAGAGATGAACCACAAGAAGCAGGAGGAGATATGGGGGCTAGAGGTGATGAAGGGTGTCACTGGCCAAGGCAAATAGGAAACTTTATCTTGCTGCCTCCATGGCACTGACCAAAGATTCTTGCCAGCCTAGGCCCCCTTTGCACTTTAAAAATCTGCCACCCTTCCACAACTCAATAATGACAGAGTCTGCAAAAGGTTTCCTCTATTTTAAAATGGCAAGCTCCCACAGCTTTCCTGTGAAGTGGAAGGAGCTCAGATCAAATGGTCCTTAGAAACTCCTGCAACTCAAAACTCAGCCCAGAGAGCCAGAAGACAGTCCAGGCTGAATATAACCACTTAATATCTCCTATCTTCAATGCTTGTGGCCTTGTGACCTTAGTATCTCATCATCACACATGAGAAAAATAAGCACAGCTTTCTCCTGGCAGAGGGGTGAGCTTTGATTGTGGCAACATCCAGTAGCTGTGGGGCCACACTCCTGGCACACTGTTCTGACACTGCAGCCATTCCTGCCCTAACAAAGCACCCTTACACACTGACAATCTTTCCTGAGCTCAGCATATGGGGTAGCTTGATGTTGCTACAATATTCCTCATTATCACTGCTGAAAAATCTAAAATATGGGGAGGGAAAAAAGGAGACCTAAAGTTCTCTTAGGGCACCACCAGTTTTTAAAGGATTTCCTTTAAACTGAACAGCCTGAAGGCCTTGCTTAAACACGCCAAGTGTCAGGGAAGAGAAAAAACACTGAGGCTCTGGTAAAATTAATTTTATACTGCATACTTCTGACCTGACTGAAGCCTGCACGCCCCAGGACACAGCAACTCATTTTCCTACCTCAGTCTGCAACACTGGGACACACTGAAAAGCTGCAGCATCAACTTGGTGAACCACAAATGGATGCTTTATCTCTGCTCAGTGAAGCTAGAGAACCCCTATCAACACTGTGATCATACTGGCAACAGAACAAACTTGAACTTGACACTGCGATGTTTAACCCACCAGCAGCGCTCCCTGCCCACAAGAGCTGGCTAGGCAGGACAAACACATCACTGGTGTCAGAGAGGGCTTTCCTCTCTCTCCCCTGCCACTGCACATTCATGCAGCAGCCTCTCAGTTTTCGTTATAAATTCCCTGGGACAAGAAACTATTTATTTGCACACTTCCAAGCACAAAAATAAGTTCTGCTCCTGCTAAATTCATACCAACAAAAGTTCAACAAGCAGAGTTCCTGCCTCCTTTGCAAAATTCTAGTCCCAGCTTCACCCCATAGGAAATGTTCTCCAGGAATAGTTGCTTTACAGCAAAGGAAAAGCCGCCTTACCTGTGGCTCAACCAGCCAGCTCTCCTCCTCACTTTGAGCTGGCTTTGTAAACTTAAAAGCTGAATAAAGAGGGATTTTGTCCTTAGTACTGTAGAGGGTTGCAAAGCGTGGCTCTTTGTTGTACTGCTGACAGATTTTCACATGGAACGGCTCCGTAAATCCTTCGGGTGGGACTTGTCCAGGGAAGAACACGTTACATTCGGCAAAACCAGTTTCATCCTCTCTGACAACTCTGCCCTGGGAAAAGCCTGGGAAAACTGAGATGCAAAGCAAGAATACAATTGACGTCTTCATGGTCCACTCCCTGGAGCCGAGGGAAGCCCCCTCTGCCTCCGCTGGGTACGGCGAAGGACCAGAGTCCATGCAGCAGCGAAGCCAGAGAGCGTCTGGAATTCGGGTGTAGCGTGCGAGGGAAATGAAACACGAAACCACAGCCGATCCCTTCGGGGAGCCAGCGCGTTCTGCAGGCAGCACGTTGTGAAACCGAACGTGCGCCAGGCTGCTCTGACACACGCTGCGGACGCCAGCTGCCCCCGGGAGGTGATGCCAAGCAACCTGAAATCATCAGGGCTCCTTGGGAAGAGGAGGAGGGACGCCTATGGCAGCGGCAGGGCTGGAGCTGAGCAGCACCGGCTGTCCAGGCTGGGGCTCAGCGCCGGCGGGGGTGTGGTGTGCTGCATTGCAGCAGTCCCCGGCAGGAATTTTGGCTGACACAGCCAGAAGTGTTCCTGAGGCTGTCAGAAGAGATGCTGCAAAGTCAGATTCACCACCCCAAAGAAGGTATTAGCTGTCCTCTCCAGCTGTGAGCCCGGCCAAAGGAGAGGAAGAGAAAGAAGAGAGGTGGCAACACTGGAGCTGCTGGGAACCCCCTTTGACCCTTTTTGGGGTGTCTGTCATCACTTTTGCCGCCACATACTGCTTAGATGCTTGGGAAAGGGATTCACCTTCCATCTCTCCTGGCGCTGTATGGGCAATTCAAAACCCTCCAGTATGACCTCATCTTGGGAGACCCTCTCTCAGCAGAGATGAGCAAAAGGCAGAAGGCTGAAGAGCCTTGGATCACATACCCCTAATCAGCATCCTCTACAGAACATTTTGGCCAAACCTATGGAACCGCAAAAAAGGGAAATGAAGCTTCTCCTCTGAGTTTATGTTCAGCAGAGTAACCATCCACCCAATAAACAGCTGCCTGTGATGCCTTGGCTACTGCTGGGTAAAAACAGATTCCTTTGGTGACTGGGAAAATTAATGTTTTCAAAATAGTGGAGATGGAAAGGAGATTACAGAGCAGTACCTTGGAGTCCAGAAAAAGTAGTATTTTCCCACCCAAGAAGTGAGATGTGATCAGCTTTAGATTGTTTTTTAGATTGTTGGCAACAATCTAAAAAAATCCTAGATGCCAATAGGGCATAAGTCCCTTCTATAATACAATTTCCAAGCCAAAAACCTCCCAAGTGCTACCATTCCACAGGTACTTTGTGTAGGATCATGTCCGTATTGAAAATGATGAAGTGGGACAGTGAGTGGTTAAAGTGCCTGCCCAAGGTCAGAGAAGGAGTCTGTGAAAGGCTAAAAATAGACTGCACTGTATGACTATCATTCCTCTATTCAGGGATGACTTCTGGAAGTATCAAGACAAGGAAATACGTCAACACCTCTTGGTATGGTGATATCAGCTAGGGGAGACAGAGGCAGGCTGGGCAGACTGGGGAACAACAGGAAATGTAATAAGTGGTCTTGGGTTTGGTCCAGGCAAATGACTGGTCACCCAGCCCTGCCAGAAAGAGTTAGTCATGTTCAGGAAAGGTGATGGAAAGGAAAGCACAGACATAAAATTCCATTTTCCTAGATGTAAAAAAGGCTCCTGGAAAATCAAGAACTGAAGCTGAACCTTTGCTGTTAGGTGTTTCTCTGATCCCAGACTTGCAATTACCTGGACAGCAGAAAAAATATTTTCATAAGCACGGTAAGCCCTGCTACTCAGGCAAAGCTAGGTCAGACCATGAATTTCAATACCCCACTTCAAGGCTGACATGCATTACCTCAGGATGGGCATGGTCCCAATCCAATGAAAAGGCAGTATGAAGTATCTCAAGATGTGCATGACAACAGGCACTAGCACGCTGAACAGATCAATGTTTTCCACCAGGAAAGATCTGCCTTTGTCCTAGACCTGTGAATCAACTTCTTGCCTCAAAGTGGCAACTCTGTCTCATCAGGTGTACAGCGCCAAGTTGTCTTCTGAGCCTCAATGGTTTTTATGGGCTTTTGGGAAACTGAGGGGTTCTTTCCTTTCAGGGTGTGAGGCTGGGGTCTGTCTGCCAATTTAGCTCTGCATGTACCAGAAAACAGATAAACCTGACTGAAGAGCAGGAGTTTCAGGTTTTCATCTCCTATGAGGAGCATCAGTTCAAAGCATGGAGTTCCACTCCTCTGCTCCCAGTTCGATTGTCCAAGCGAGGTGCCTTTCCAGTTTCAAATTAAAGATAGCTGTTGTGAGCCTTGAACACAGAACTGTGTATTTTTTTCTCTTGCTAACATCACTATTACTAAAGGGACTAGTGCCATCATTATGCTAGTGCACTCACTGTGCTGAAAAGATAAAGGCAAAAAGACTGCTCTGCCCTAGGAAGGTTACATTCTCAGCCAAGGAACCACAGACAGAGGACTCAAACACAGTGAGATGGAGCTGGCCAGAGGTTTTGATGAGTCAGTGCTGCAGTAGCTTATCTGCTGTCAGATGCTTTTATAGGCATCACAGGGAGTGATGCCTATAGGCAGTGATAGGGAGCAATGCTTATAGGGGCTGATGCCAAAAGGAGTATTAAGATCAGATTCAAAACAGCCCTAAGGCTATTGATGTGAGCAGAAGGGTTCTGGAAAAATACACATTGGGATGGCAACGGGCAGTGTGAGCTGGTGGTGTCAGCATGAACGGTGGCAGCAGTGTGGCCTTACAAGACCTGGGGCTGCCTTCTCCAAACCTATCAAGGGGTGACAGTGAAATAAGCTGAACAGTGTCAACAGTGCGGGAAAGAACCTGATGTTTCATGTAATGGAGCAGAGGGAACCCAGGGAGGATGCAGAGTGATGTGGCCAAAGGGACACATGAGAAAAGTGATCATAGAATCACAGAATATCCCAAGTTGGAAGGGACACACAAGGATCATCGAGTCCAACTCCTGGCCCTGCACAGGATGCCCCAGGAGTCACATCACATGCCTGAGAGCACTGTCCAAACACTTCCTGAACTGTTAGGTTGGTGCTGTGACCACTGCCCTGGGGAGCCTGTTCCAGTGCCTAACCACACTCCTGGTGAAGAACCTTTTCCTGATGCCCAACCTAAACCTCCCCTGACTCAGCTTCAGGCCATTCCCTCAGATTCTGTCACTGGTCACCACAGAGAAGAGATCAGTGCCTGCCCCTCCACTTCCCCCCATGAGGAAGCTGATCACTCAGTGGCAGGCAGAGGTGCGTGGGAGAGAAGAGAGGCTGTAGACAACAAACTGTATAGACACAGAATTTGCAAACCATGACAGTGGTAAAGTGTGTTGGGGAAAATTAAGAGAGGTTGGAGAGAAGGAAGGGCAAGAAAAGAGGTAAAGATCCAGAAAATTATATTGACCAGCAGGAAAAGGAAGATATTGGGAAAAAATTAGAGTTGAGGAGGATTTGCATTCCTGAAAATCTGGGGTGCTAAGAAAAGGTGAAGAAGGAAAACAAATGGAAATAGGTGTGAGGAAACCGAGGCGGGTTGTGACAGGTCAAGTGAGATGATGTGAGAAATCTGAGGAAAGTCTCTTGTGATAAGAAAAAGAGGAGAAAGTATGAGGAGGAATGGGGGAAGGGAGAATGAAAGGTTTACATCCATCTTCATTGACTTGACATAGATGACCAGTCTTCCTGTTCTCCAAGGGTCACAAGCATCAAGAACAGTGTCTCAAAAGGAACACCTCCCTGCAAAACAAACCTGAAAAGCATGTCAGCATCCAAACTCTCTAGCCATTAAGAAGCTGCCAGGCTTGTCTGTCTGCTTTCCCACACTTCTTCTCCAGCCCTGTCTCTGTTCACACGACTGACACTGGATTTGCTACAAATAGAAAATCTATCCCCTCACATGCTTGACCCCTCTACCCTAGTCTTTCAAAACATTCTTGACTCCAAATATTTTTCCAGGCTGGATCTCCAGTCTCCTATCATGGCCTCTGTGAGACTCCAGTGTTGTGTGTGACTGTCTCTTTCTCCAGTGAAGAAAAGGAAGAACACAGTGTCTCCAGGGGCAAGAAGTCTCATGAGAGAGACACCATTTTTTACAGTAGGCATACCAAGCTTGGACTTGGAGTTCAACAGTGCCAGCAGACATGCCATGGCATGTCAGAGAGCACATCTGCCTCCTCACTGTCTCATGGGGAAACAGTCTCTTTTTAAAATTAGTTTAAAAACTTGCTCTGGGAAGAGAGCCCAGTGCTGAGCTACAGTGAAAAACAAGAGTGAAAAAAAATTTCCTATTGTAATTAAGAAATTCAAGGGCAAGGGGAGGGGGTGGGCAGAAGGGCTTAAAAATACATTTTTGGGATTTTGATTCCCACCTAAAATGATGTTTTGATGCCAGTCTCTGCTGCCTTTTGTCTTTACACCTTGCCCACCATGTTCCTGCTGGTGAGGAATGGCCCTCCACTGGCAGTGCTGCTCTGTTGCTCAGCTCTGCCATGATGCTCACTAGCAATGGTGGCCTGTGAGAGGCCATGAACTGCCTCAGACTGCCAGGGATGCTGATCTGACTCCTCTGCTTCTTCACTTGCATTTTCTCCTGTCCAGGCTCAGTGTCCACTCACAGCAGACAGTGGATGCCCTGAAGTGGTGTCACAGCTGAAATCAGAAGAGAGAAAGGGCATGAAGTTTTAAACAAAAAATTCTAGAGGAGGCTGTCCATGGTGTACAATCAGAGGAAAAGGGTGGCAGCTGGAAGAGTGAAGCACCCAAACTGTTTTATGGATGTTAACACCATTAGGACAGAGACATATTCTCATTTTGTACAAAAACTTGCACAGTGGAATTCTGACAGGCACTTTGTCATGAACCATGAAGTATAAATGCAAAGCATAAATACTGAATACAATTAATAAAATCCAGGCTGCGTCCTTTGGCATTTTATCACAGTCTTCATACCCAAGAGATCTCTGTTAATCTTCAGACTGTTTAAAAGAAGCACAATGACGATCCCATGCTAGACAGCAAAAGCAGGATGGATGTAGATTAGCAGTATAAGGCAGTGTTTCTAATAGTGCAAATGATTATCTGTCAAAATGAGCTATTTAGAGATGTGCTGAAAGCTCTAGTACCTCCATTCTTTAAATTAGGAGGTGCTTTTTAACATGATAACAACTAAAACAAAGGAGTTGATGTTTCAACTGTAATGGCCTTTGTTTTAGACTGTCAATTAGTCAGAGCCACAACAGGTCTGACACACCTTAAATCTGTTTTGGACAAGGAAGTTATCCACTTACATGCTTTTCTTCTAGGTATTAATATTGATTTTTTACTATTTGTTTTATTTTATATTTTCAAAAGAGCAGTGTGATTCAGTCAATGCTGAGAGCTTGCTGTGCTACATGCTGCCTAAAACAAGGCGTGACACAGCTCCTGACAGTCTGCACTGACAAAAGACTGGTGAGTGG